GGGCAGAAGCGGTTTACGGACGGGAGCTGTAACCGCGGTGCAAGCTTCGCGCTGCCGGGTCTCCTCAGCAGCCTCCGCCGTCCGCAATTAATGCTCCTAACAGATGCGGTGTGGAAAGATGAAGGTGCGCTGTTCCGCTGCGGTACGCCTCGCCCCGAAGGTTTTGTCCCCTGAAAACTTGGAAGTGCTGCTGTTCTCTTTCTTTGACTGCTTTTCGCAGAAGTGCTATATCTGAGCTGTGCTTTATCCGGAGCTGCTGAGGAGTCTAGGGAAGCAGCAGTTCCATGTAAATACCCTTCACATCTGCTTCCTGAGTTTGTTCTCATTTTATGTTACACGAACACTGGGCAACGTGCAGTGGCTGATGTGTTTCAGACTTCTGAATAGTCGTGTCACCAACTTCAAATCCATGCGGTTGCCATAACGAATTAGCCTGGATTTCTTGAATGCAGGCTACACTGATAGCCAGCTTTTGCCACTCCTTTCTTCATTCCCTCCTGAAGAAAGGGCTGCAAAGCTGGAAAAGCTGCTGGTCTGTGTCACTGAAAGGATTTTTTTTTTTTCCTCTCTCTCCCTCGTTGTTTAGCTCATAAAACTTTATAAACAAATGCTATAGCTATTAAGCAAGTCTTTTTCCAGTACATCAGCTAGCCTTGTTTCCATTTCTTTATTGCCTACAAATATTGGAAGCCATCCTGTCTTGACTTGCATGTGTTGCAGCATCTTTCTGTGCTGTCTTAATGCTGTAAGTCTTAATACGAAAATAAAGGTTCTATTTGTATCCCTCCCTTTATTTTTAAATCGGCATGTGTGGCTGCAAAGTTACCAGGAGGCTGCTAAACCCATGTAGGAAACTTTCTTCCTTGCTTTCTGATAAAGGATTATGTGACCCACATCTCCTTGAAATCACTCTTTGGACTGTTTCCATCATTTTTATAATAACTACTGACCTCAGAGTGCATGACTGTAAAAGAAAACAGCCTTGCCTTTTTTTTAAACTTAGAACACTCGTGGTTCTCAGACAGCATGGAAGACTCCTTATTTTTAAGGGATTTTTCTCCTCAGCTTTTTGGTGTGACTAGAAGTTAGTCCGTATCTGCTAAGCTAATGCTAGTACTGCACTTGATCTTAGATTTGAGCTCATAACTGGAGCAACGTTACTGTGTAACTTTTACAGGAACAGGCTCTAGTGGTGTTAAATTTTGAGTTTATGCCTATGGAGCCTGATATTTTGCATTCTGAAACAGCCAGAAGTGCTTGTATGTGGTGTCCTTCAAACACAGGCCCATGTCTTCCCCATCATTCCAGGAAAGGTAACAGACCCACAGAAGGCAGACAGGAAGGGCTGCAGGTTCCCTCAAGCTGCAGGAGGGGTGAGGAGGTAGTGATGAACAGTGAGCTCAGCCACGTCTGCAGTCAGATGTTAGGTAGAAAACTGAGTGAACTGTTTTGTGGTGTGATTAGCAGAAGGTGTTTCATAAAGTGAACCTTGGGTGCCCTTCTGCTGGGCATCACGTCACTGGGTTCCTACACCTTTGTTGTGGCTCTCATGAATTTTTATTTATTGCCTGTTCTTTACATGAGTACTGGAGATTGAGTAAATTTAGCTGAGCTAAGGCTATTTGGATTGCCTAGCCTGGCAGCAGAGGAGCGTTGTTAGTTCTTGAACACTCAAGCTGCTATTTCAGAATCTATTTTGACCTGCTAGATACCAAAATAACACATGCTTAGAAGTCCACAGGCTGTCTCTGGCACACAGGTACGTGGAAATGCCCATTTCCCTTCATTGGCCCGTGGCAAAGCACCAGCAAGTGCAAGTTCTTCCTGTCAGTACACCTACAGAAGCTGAACTGCTGAGGATGTCAGGACACTCCTGGTCTTGTCCACAGCATTGTGTTAGGCCAGGTGGTTGCATCATGTAGGAGATAGGCAGCATCAAAACATTCCTGTGGAATTATTGGTGTACTCCCATGGAAATAACGATTTTCGTTCTATTCCTTCTTCCCTAAAGCATGTGGACTAGAGACTTCTTTGTATGGAGGTAATTGGTATATTATTAGAAGACCTAAGACTTTGTCAAAATCTGCTTGTTTGGTCATGATAAAAAAGACTTTTTCTTTTTTTATTAGGGAAGAGAGGTTATTAAACCTTTGTGGAGTCCAGTAGTGAATCCTTTATTGGTAAAGTTATTAAACTTCATCACAAAGATTATCTTAAGAAAGATTTAAAATATATGAGTAGAATGGGAGTCATTTAATTTAGTTTTTAAACAAGTATTTAATTTGGGGGATTCTCAAAAGCCAGTGATAAAAGTGTAAAGTGGGAAGCAAGCTATCACTCGTTTAATAGATTGTAATTATAATAATTGTGTTTCTTTACTTGGCATTATGACGTCTATTTTTAAGCATTTCTGTTATGCCCAGGGAGAATATTTAAAGTTGATTAAAGCATTTGAAATTCTTGTTCTCAGAATCCAGAGAGTCTAGGAATGGCAACTAAAAAAACACAAATGGATTGCCAGCTAGCCTGGGTTTTTCTCTCAGGGTCCACACAAACATTTAGGGTTCTGAAAACTAGTAGCATATGTTGGTCTTCATATAAATTGAGCGTTGATGAGGAGTGTTGATGACATGTTTATATCTGGTATTTACATGTTGGAAAAAAAACAACTTAGCACTGTAAAAAAGTGAACTCTGGAAGATAAGTGTGAAAACCAGAGCAAGTTTGGTAAGTCTGGATCTGCCTCCCTGTAGTCGTTCTCCCAAACGAGTCTTGCAGCTTGTTCAGCTAACCCAGTTTCAAACCATAACACCTGATACGGGATGATAAGACTTGCTCTTACAAGTTATATTCCCCCTTCAACAGTCTAAATGGAAACAACAGAGCAGGTTCTGATGAAAGGAAGCGTTTAGTTTCACATCTTCTCTATGTCTTTGTACGTCAAACTGACTTTGTCGGGAACGTGCTGATGAGCCAAGTGTGTCTGAGGGGTGCTGGACTTCCTGGAAGCTGCTGATCACCTTGTCAGGAGATGCAAAGACCCTTGTTTGGCCCAGCTTTTTATTTGATCTGTTCCTTACTTTAGCTTCAGAATTCATGTGCAAACCTGGGGTTGAGAGTCTCTTGGGCACTTGGAGGTCTTTTGAGAAGAGCATTTTCTAACATGAGTCTGACTCACCACTTAGTACCTCCTGAGCTCAGAAGCGCTACTGGTTTGTTTATGTATTGTTTTCATTTTTGACTGACTTCCTTGAATTACTCTTATGTACAAAATTAACCAGAAATTATGCCAGCTGATGACTTTCTTAAATTAAAGAAGTATGTGACTTCCTATTCTGCTGCATACATCTGTATTTTTTAAAGGAAAAAAAGAATATAAAAAGCATTTATGTGATATTAAACATACTTTTAAGTAGGTCAGAGTACTTTTTTCTCTAATCTTCTTTTGTCTCTTCTTTTTTGGTAATTTTTTTTCCCTCCCTGTTTTTGCCTGCAGAAAAGAGGGACCCAAGACCTAAAACCTAATATAAACTTACCAGAAACTCAAAGTAATTCTAGTCCCACTTAGATGTCAATGGGCAAGGCTTTTGCTTTATTAACTCTTCAGACATCATAAAGTAATAACATCTCTGCCCTAGGTGTCAAAACCTTTATTTTATTTCTTCTTTTTACTGCAGGACATTTCTTCTGGTGGGAGCTCCAAAAGCGAACACTACCCAGCACAACATTGTAGAAGGAGGCCAGGTGCTCAAGTGCAACTGGAATTCCAACAGAAACTGCCAGCCGATTATATTTGACCCCACAGGTAACACACAGTTCAGTGAAAGGGGGGATGGGTGTCTCTGCTCTGATCCTAGTGTGAGAGAGCAGAAGGGATTCAGATTCACGTGCAGTTCTTGATGGTTGATGTGAATACAGCCATTTTGGGGCTGGCAACTAGTCAAGGCTTGTTTTGTGGTTTGTTTTGTTTTTTAAACTTTTAGAATTCTGTTGTCCTTGGTATGTGCTGAAAGCCTGAGTGAGCATGCATCATTCTTCTTTTGTTTTCAGCTATTTATATTTCTCCTCTGTACTTCCCAGCAATCCTAAAACATTTAGCAACCTAATTCCCAATAAACCCTAAGGGCTTTATTGCCTATTAAGAACACGGCATGTGAACAAAGATACTTCTTAATATCAGCAGAAGTGCTATAGGCAGAAACACTCAGGAGTTTAATCTGAAACTGGGAGTCTGTACTTCAAACCGTGGAACAAAAAATCTTTTTGTTATGTTTCCCCTCAGATGTAGCTTCATAGGATTTGTGGCATTGTGACAGCAGCACTCGGGGTGCCTTGGGTCAGAGGCAGTGCCCATTTCTAAGTATCTGTACTAAAGCTGAGCAGCAACAGTGCTGACATGAAACCCTTCACTCAGCTTTCATGCTCTGGTACACATGATGATTTCCACAAGCTGTGGCAGGTCATATGAGAGCACCCTGCGTGTGCTCTTCTGCTTGAGCCATTCAGTGTTGAATCCTGTTTTCCACGGCGTGGTTCAGGCCAGTGGAAAAACCTTTCCATGTCATGGGAGTGGATTAGCAAGACCCATGAGGTGGGTCAGAGGAAACACCTGTGCTTTTAGGCTCTAAGTGGTTATAATTCATTCTTGCCTCTGCCAGTATTTTGACTTTGTAGTCTAAAGGCTACTAGATTTATGCAGCCTCTGTAAATAATGCATGACACAACAGAGAAGCTCTTCTTCCAATTCTGTTCTCAAGGTATACCACAAAATGTTGGTGGTGGTCAGATTTCTGAAATCTCCATATATTTTTCTGAAAACTTATATTACTTGTTCTCCTGGGGAAAAAAGTAAGTACATAATGGTACACACAAACCCCGAGTCATTATTGGTGTCTTTACTCTACAGGAATGTTTCTGCCAGATTACTTACACTCTCTAGTAAGTAATAGCAAGTTGCAAAGTGTGACATTTTGTCTGCATGAGTGTAAGATGGCAAAAATGGTTTTGTGGATTTTGTTTGTTTGTTTTCTCTTTGGCTTTATTGTTTAATAGAATACAAATGTGGGTTTGTTTGGTGTTTTTTTTTTTGTTTTTTTTTTTTTAAGAAAGAATCTAAATGTCCCTAATTAATAACCATCACTAACATAATAGCCAAAACCATTCTGGTATGGGAAGATAAATCCACCAGGGTAGGTTCTAGATGTATCTTGCAGTGGGAATTGCAGTGTATTTATCTGTTTATATGGTGAATGTTTGCAACAGGCTTTTCCATATGCCAAGCAGAATAAATAGAGAGGCCGTGCTGCTTTGTTGTGTCTGTGCTTAAGGTATATGCTACTGGACAAACAGTGTTTTGCTTTTAATTTGCCTTTGAGTAACGGGCATGTTAATTGCTTGAAATTTAACAGTAAAAATAGCAGGTCATAATGGCTTAAGAGGATTTCTTTCAGGCACATTTTAACTCATTCCAGCTTTCAGGCAACGAGTTGGGAAGTAATGCATTTGTCAATTATTCTCTGGGTGAAAAGGGCCATTGTATTGCAGTGTAATAAAATAATAAATGCACTGAGACAAAATGAAATGTCTTTTTCTTTGTTCATAATACAATGGTTGACTCCCTATGTTCCGATGACATCTTGCTGCCAACACAGTGCAAACCCCCACTCCTGCCTGCCCCTCCTTCACAAGGTAACAGGGGTGAGGGAAGATCTGTGATTGACTTTGCAGGAAATGGGAAGCAGAAGATTTGGCCACTGATTTATGGTGCTGATATGAAGTTGCTTTCTGTAGATGACTAAATGCAGCCTCTGCAAGAATTCACGTTTGCTACTTCAACACTTGTGCCATGTGATTTGTAATTGCAGAGGTATTGCTTATACAATACAAGGCAGATTTTTTCCCCCTCCAAGATTATTTAGCTGTTTTGGTAATGGGAAAAAAAGCAGCACCAGTTCTGCATAACTAATGAGATGGGTTTCTTAGTGGTTCTTTTCTGATTGTTTCCAGCTAGTGAGAAATCTGACCTGTGAAAATTACAAGCACATCTGTATTTGTGACTTGTCTCTGTTTATCTGTTGATGGCCAAACTCCATATGTGGAGTTGCAAAATTAGAGTTACTGAAGACGTGCTCCTGTTCCTTCTCCTGTGTCCCTGCGCCAGAGAGGGTGGCTGGCAGATCCTGGACCAGGCCAAGCCCCTGCATCACACGCAGCCTCTGAGAGAGGAAGGGGCTGTGTTCCTCTGCTGTGAACGTAGCAAGGGAATGGAGCAAAGAGAGAGTCTTGTTCTGACTCTGTGAGGTTGTGTTTCTCTACTTGTCTCGTGGTTGCATCACAAATAAATTAGAGGTCCAGCATGCAAGAGTATTTTTCTCTTTCAATTATTATTATTTTTTTTGTATTAAACATTACTTGGTTTTAGTTAAGTTTTCCTTCCACTTTGTGGGTCCTTTCCTCTTCCCCATCTATAGAAAGGCCACACTGAGCTGAGCTGCGGAGTTGGGTTTTATTTTCTAACACTTACTTTTGGCTTAAATACCATATTGTCACAGGAGCGTGGGCTTTTACATGAGACAGATGCAACAGCTATAAGCTATAAACGTGCCCAAGAGAGAAGGTACTAGCTGCTTTATGTTAATCTTTGGAGGAGGAGTTGTTCAGGCCCTTACCTTACACCAGTGTTGCTTGTTGAATTTACCCTGTGCCCAGCTCCTCTGGAGGAAAGCGATAAGGCACGAAGCTGAGAGTTCCTGGGAGTACCAAATTTACTACTTTGTTTCTTCCTTCCTGTGGGTTACAACTCAGCTCTTTCAGGAGAGGAATGCTGGGCAGTGGGAGTCCCTTCATGGAACTTGCACAGCTCACATCCTGAAAATGCATGTACTTCCCTCACTTTTAGGATCTCCCTACCAGCCTATAACACACACCCCCACATCCCCCCATTAAAGCATATATATTTTAAAACTGTTGGCCAGAAAAAAACCTTTTCTTTCAGTTCCTACACAACGTATTTTCTCATTTAAAACAGCCGTGTATTTGCAAAGGGGAAGGGTGATCTCCCCTCCTCCTAGATCTCCCAGCACAATGGTGACATTCATCTAAAAATACTCTAGAGGATATTCTGTATTTATGTCTGAGTGTGTTTCTGTGCACTAATTGCTTTTGACGTTCTGGTGTACACGGTGGCTGTGGAAGGCAAAATGTTTATATCGCACATTAACACTTCCCAAATGTAAAGATGCTTCTCTGTGGGGCTCCTGAGCATTTTGGCACTGACATCAGTTGGCTTTGATTTAACATAGCTAGGACTATGTGAAAATTGCATAACAAAGACGTGTGGTAGAAGCTGCCCTCCAGTTCAGGGGTGCCTATAGCTGTGCTGCCTGTGCTTGTGAGTTGTATTTTTGGGGAAAGGCTTTCAGTTATCCTCAGGGATGCATTTCGGGCTGGTTTTCCTTTTGGATGCACATGAAGGTTAAGGTTTAAAAGGAACCAACCACCAAGGAAGCTCCTTCATATGCAGGCTTTTGCTGATACTGTTGTGAAACTGAAATAGGAAGCAGTGCTTTTTATCTGTTAGTCCGAGGAGTTATCCTGAAAATCTGAGTAGAAATAGATCCAATTAAAAAGTGCTGTATAAGCATGGAGCTTTTCTTGCATTATTCCTGTTTACCTTGTTAATTCAGAAGCTAAATGTGCAACTTGCACAAAACCAAAGTTTCTGGCATTTATGTTCTCGTATATCTTGAATTCTTACTACAACTGCCACAGCATTACCACAATTTCATTTGAATTGTTATGTAAAATATTTCAGATTTTTTTTTTTTCCCCTCTGTCTCAGTTAATTTTCAGAGTTTCAGAATGTGTAGGAGACTATTTCTTCAGGACATGCACAGGGGGAAAAGTTACTTTCTCAAGAAAGCATAGTCTTCAAAACCTTCATAACTGATATCAGAAAATCCCTTCCTTTGCAACATGTTTTACATTTCACATTCAAATTATCAAAACCCACAAGGTAACAGGTCAAGGTGGTTAAACATTTGTCTTCATTCTTAACCCTTCTCCACAGAGGATAATTTTGTGACTGAAGGTTTAGTTTCTTTTTTGTTTTGAATAGTAGCACTAGGGGAATATTCTGCATCTTATAAAGAATCTGTGAAAGCAAAGGGTGGGAAAACTGCTCTTACAGCTTGCTGAGCTATAGTACTACTCTTCCTACAAGACTGACTGGAGAGGTGGTACCTTGCTTAGAAAGCTGAATAGCTGGCTTGAACTGCCAGCTGCTTAGCAGCTTCTTCCAGGAAAAACATTTTTTGTGTGGGTAAACTGTAAAAGGAATGCAGTAATATAGCAGTCCATTTTAGGTTTATGATCAGTTTGAGACAAAGGTCCAAAAAAGTTTGTGCTAAAGACACATCTGTTCTTTTTCCCCTTTTCTTCTTCCGCAACCTTCACAGACTAGCACAGCAAAACTTGTGTAGATAGTACCAAATAGTACTGAAAGTATTTCCATAATCTTGCTCAGGGAATAGGTTCTTGGAAAGGTAAAGGTTTTTCTGCAAGTTATATTTACTTTGTATAGTTGTCAATTTTTTTGTGTATAAAATCAAACTTTTTTCTGGTGCGCAAGAGGAGGATCAAAAGCTCACTGAGCCAGACATCAAAACTAGTGAGCAGAGGTGTGGTCAAATGTGATTGTTTTTGGAAAATCAACATGATGTCTTTATGTTTTTATTAATGTATTTTACAGCTTGGCATACATGGAATAGCAGAGTGGATACACTTAGCTAATTGTCTGACATCTAG